CTGTCTCAAGACTAATTTATGTAATGATAAATGTACAAGGACCTATGATTGTAAAGCACTACCTGAAAACCAATTTGATTTGAGGGGGTTAAAGGAAACTCCAATCTTTATTTAATTGCCTCCAAATAAATGGAGTATTGAATAAATGCTGCTAAGACGGTTTGTATTATTTACGCGGCGTAGTGCTCAACCACTGTCACTAAATGATCAATTTAAATGCTATTTTTAATTCTGCTTTCAAATTTAGAAATTCTTCGTGGTCTGCTATTTTCTTTTAATGTCAATTGTGTTTTTCATATCATCATACGAGTTAGACACCTTCATCACCCAGCAATGACTTCTCAAGACCCAGGCATATAAGAAGAAATTCGAGATTAATGGTTGGTGATGATGTTGATGATTGGGACTTATCCGAAAAAAAGTTAAAATTGATTTCACATATTGGGAAATAGAAGTGAATATCAATTAATGGTTGATGAAATCAGTGAAATGCCTGCGGTTGAAATGTCACTGTTACCGCTTGTCCATTTTGAGTGAATCACCTGAAACATTTGAGGAATTGCATATCTGCGAATTAACCTTGTTATGTTTCACTCCGCCCTACCATTATCCTTGCGTAGTTATTTTACTAACATTAGGATGTTCTCAATCACACTCACTATCTTTTTTTTGCTTCTTCCCTTCATCTTACCTGAAATTTCAGCTCGCTGATATCCGGCTGGTGCAACATGTGATTTGTGAAGTCTTCATGGAGATTAAGCGCAGTCTTCATGCTCGATCGTTGACTTCAGCTCTACGCAAATTCTCTGCTTCTATTGGCCGAATCAACCCTAAAAAGCGAAGGTTAGTTTTTTTCAATGCTTTCAAAGAAGGGCGTTTTTTAGTTTGGGAATGTCAAATGATTAAGGAAAATAAACGTCAAAAAGTCTTCGATTGGTTATGGCTACTTTCTCACGCAAAAGTGTTAAGAAATAAGGATCACTAAAATCAACTCCTTGCTATTTTATTACCCATGATTGAGCTTCCAAATCTGGAATTCATAGAGATACTTGTAGTTATGAGAAAGACACCTAATCTCGATAGGTTTGAAGTTCGCTTGGCCTAGGTAATAAGAAATTAACGTATTGTGATAAGTCGATGACAATACTGGCCAAGCGCGGCGTCTTGTCGCTTCATTTCTAGTTATAGTTGAGGAGAATCTCTCATTGGGAAACCGATGTGTGGTCAACGAGACTTTATGCATTTCACTAGACTCTAAAAGCACAAATTCTATATTCAGAAATTCAATGCTCATGAACAATCTGGGCAATTGGGATTAATAGTAATAAACAAGAAACCTTCTCGGGATAATTAAGCTTCATGCTTATTGACATCTTGTATGATTGTGTAGCTCTCTCTCTCTCTCTCTCTCTCTCTCTCTCTGATAGGGCGTTTTATATTTTGAAGATGTCAAATTTTAACCCCTAAATTTATTTAGTTGTAAAATCATAGGCTTCGCCTTTGCTCATATACTCTTGCTTATTCAAATGCCAAATGTGCAAATCACAAAAATTCGTTCACTCCGTCTTATCTTATCTCCTATCTTGCCACTCTCTTATTGTCAAGGAGCAAGTATAGTTTTGCAAACTAGTACCTTTTTTCCCCTGACAAAATTACTAAGTGTTTTTTAATAGATTTTCTTTCTATTATTATCATCTATATAACACCTAATTCTCATATTATTCATGTAAAGTAATGCAAATCACAATGTAATTTACCTAATTCGAGTGAATTTACATCGAGTTTTAGTTAAAAAGACTTTTCTTTCTATCTTCTCTTGTCTAGGGTATTGGCTTGTAGAAAGTTGTAAAACTTATTATTTACCTCTTTTCCGTTCAATACTTGGTCTTCTGGATTGTGGAAGACTGTTACTTCCTATTTGCCTCTGTATAGATCACTTCTTCTACAAAGTAGATATCGCGGAGCTTGAACTTGTTCTATTGCCAAAATGCAGTGCTATTTTGAGGCTCAAGTTATTTGCTTAGCTGACACACACAATATGGCCTTGTGTTATTGTTGGATTTTATTGTCGTTTTTAAACTGGAATCCGGATTCGTTTTATATTAAGATATATTATGGCTAAACTGATACAAAATTGTTGGGTGAGCATTATTGATGCTGTTGCAACTCTGAATGTGTGAAATTGATTATTTGCTTGGCTTGTGAGGTTAATATCGTAGTTAGCAGCTAGTTGTCTTTTCGAGGGACGAAGTTTTTTCGGGACTTTATGCATGTTAGACTCCACATCCTATCACCACTATGTTGATGAAATGGGGTGCGCGATAGACTTACCTCCACGTGGTGCACCCTGGCCAACGTATCTTCGTACAGCAAAAAAATCTATCACTCGGCATTTGATTTGACTTCTATTTACCCCCCCCCCCCCCCCCCCCCCCCCACCCCCACCCTTGGGGGAAGCTGAAGTCAAAGTTTCAGGGCTAATGATAAATATCATTAAGCCTGCCATTTGAAATAAATAAAATAAGTAAATGTTTATGAAATTATGTCTACTGTTAACATCCTATTAGATTCATTAAAAATCAATCATTTTTTGTTGGCGTTAGTCATTTCACTCATCACTCGCTTCTTCAGTGTTTACTTTGAATCCTAATGTACACAACGGATCGCCCTTAATTAAGCAAAATTATGCCTTTTTTGTTTATGTAAAATGAGTTTTTGCATATTCACAGTTGTATAAATTATTCAATCCTTATTTTCAGAATATACGCCGTAAACATTCTGCCAGCTTTGAATGGATTGATAAGTCGAGAGGAAGAAATGGTTTGGGAGTGCTTTGCTGAAAGCATCGAGCCAATTGCGATCTTCATCTTTCCTCATACCAGTCAACAGGAGCTCATCACCGTAAGCACTTTAATACGTTTATTTACTGCTTTTGTTGATTTCCTATTGGCATGAACTTTTATCCCCCTCCCCCCTTCATGTAAATTTGGTGCTCGAGCTTTCTTGACTTTGTGGTTTGATAAATACACGCATGACGTTTCGGCAAACATGAATTAAAAATTTCACAAAACTTCCGATAGTATGTCTTGACCCGTTACCACATTTATATCCAGTTTTGGGTTTTCAATAGCTCCTGCTGAAGGGCTTGTTGGAGAAGTTGGAAAGCGAAAGGAATTACATTCGTCGATCAGCTGCAACGATCTTGGCATCCTCAGTGGTTCATTCCCGTCTCCCACACGAACTGTCCTATCTCCTTATTCAGCAACTCATTAGTAAGTGCGTCCTTTTTAGTCTATATAAGCATTTTCATTCTAAGTTATTAACTTTTCTTCATGGAGAGATTAATATGTGTTAAAGTTTGAATTAGTCTATAATCAACAATCATGGAGTTTTTTCAAATAGTTGGCACTTTATTGCTGCGTTGCGCTCTCGACTCTTTTGCGGTGATGTAATTTGGCCCGAATATGATCGGTTTCCATAGAAGTGGGGAACCCTGATGTAATTTTCTTCTCTTCAGAAAAGGGTTACCTATTCATGCAGAAGCATTTAAGAAATGTTTGCGCATAAGCAAGTTTCTCGCTTGCGCAATACCATAATTCATAACCTATCATAACCATTCAATGGCATTTAAAATTGTGAAAAACTCTAACTACTGGAAATGTTTTAGTAATATACTAAGAAAAGTAGGAGTGAGGCGGGTGGACTATAGATATTGTACATAGATAGAATATTTGGCGCTTTAATTACATGTTCATCTCATTGGATTATTCCCTTTTTTTGAATATATTTTTTTTGTTTGATGTGCAATATTCTGTTGCTCCAGTATTCCAACTGCGAAATTTGTAGCCATGTTTCTTGAATTGGTTGATGTCCGCTATGTTCAGGGCGTGCTAATAATTTGGTTTATTTTGTTGCCAAGAGCAGGTGATCCTTCGTGAGCAATTTCCTTAAGGGTTCATACATTTTCAGCATGCTTTTTTCCAAACACTTTTTTGGGCTTTTGTAGCGTCTATGTTACCAGATGTGGTTTCTTATGATAAAAGCATTGTCCTTATTTGATTGTCCACTATTATTTATTACACTTTCCCCATTTTACTTTGGGCCAGTCTATTTTATAATAAATGTTTTTTTTCTGTCTGAATTTTTCTTGCCATAATTGGCAATGCTATTTCGAAAACAACGTTTATTTCCCAAAAATTGTTTTTCTTCTTCACTTGCTTTCTCAGTTTTTGCTGTCCTCTTTTGTTGATCATTTTAATGACTTTTTTCTCGTGTTTTTTTGAGTTTCATATCATTCGCTTTGATATAATAATCCCGTTGTAGTTTTATAATGAATGCACCTTGAGTGAATTACAGTTAGCTTTGCTCTAAGAATTATAGAAATTTCTGAAGATCATGTGTGGTCATCCTTATTCCAGTATTTTGGCAGCAAAAAACTCAAGCGATAGCTAATTAAGTAAGCGATCAATGCGGATTAGACATCGGTGACAGAATAGTCATGTACTTTGAACTCCGGAGCCTAAAACCGGCTCATCGAATAGATACCGCACAGTCCGAGTTCGAAAATCAATCGAGGCAAAACTATTTCGTCAAGCATTGCCGTGAATTATACCGGGTGGCCGTTAAAATATGGGCCCCATTTGTAGGCACAAAGGCAAATTAGTTTCATCTTTTTACTTAAACCTAGTTAGTACACTCAATAGATAACAGCAAATTGTGAAAGTGTTTACCATGAACTTCGATTCTCAGCTCAACATGCATCTTTTATCATGTCCACGTTGTGCTCATCGCTTGAGGCTGTTACAATTACACAGTAACAAAATGGTAACCTCATTACCTATTTGGTAATATCTTTCATTTAATTGCACTGTATACACTCTGTCGTAAAATGCATTAAAACGAACCCAGTTTCAAACTTTATTTAATTTATTTTTTGGTTTAAATCCTTTAATGAAATCTCTTCTAAATAATTTTCTGTGCATACGATTTGCTCTTTAGGTCGAATTTTGGTGTTGAAGCAGTGGTTTCTTTCAAATGATCCGAAAAAGTCGTCCTCAGCTGCTCATGGTCTTCAGGGTTGTCTTTGGAGTCTCCGAAACATCGCCTCTCTTTATTCGCGAATCCCTACTTCTGCTCTGGTTAAGGGTCAACTTAAATCTATTGGTAATGGCATGGATGTCTTTGATTTAGATGCACCATGCACTACTTATTCCTGTGAATTAAACAAACGGTTTTCTTTTGAATTTCAGGTCGACCTCATCCTACTGAATATCTGTCAGCCCCACTTGCTGGATTGGATGCCTTGGGAAACGCCAATAATTTTTACAGTTGGTCTAGAGAGAGTCTAGAATTTTTCTGGTGGAGTGTTGTTCGCTTGGTTTGTCTCCAGTTATCGTGTCGAAATTATCAAACTGGTAAAAGTGCTTCTTCCCATGTAATGGTCTGCACGGCGTCCCTGGAATGCCTTCTTGAAGTCTTATCTTCAACTCCAGCTGGAAGCAATCCTACTGAACTTCCGACTGGTTTTCAGGCGACTCTTAGGGCATTTTGCGGGGCGAAAGTATTAACTTCAAAGTCTTCTTTTTTGCATTTGGATGGCATTGACTCTTGTAAGATTTCAGTCATCATTTTCCCTGAGGTCATATTTTGCTAGTTTCTGAACTTTCATTTTGAATAATATAGCCTTCGAAGCATCTGATGCTGATGATGAAAGTTCTCTAACCTTACAATCTCTAAATCTTCCTTCCTCGAAAGCCGTTGAAAGCGGATCTGAAATTGTTTCTCTTGTTAAACGAAACCTACTACCAAGCAGCTTCAACAATACAAGTATGATGCGCATCTTTTTAAAATCCCCCCCCTAATTGTAGATTCTCATTGGGTTTCTTTCGTTTTTATAGATCAAATAGATAACAAATGCGTTGCATTAGGCAATCCTTCTGGTGAGATTGAATTTTGGTAGTCTTATTTCATTTCTGTTACTTAAGGACCATCCACTGAGACCTCAGGTGAGACGGATTCAGAAGATGAAAGTGCAGTATTTGCTACCTTATCGATGCATGGCTGTTTGGGTCTTTTTGCTGAGAGATTTGGGCTTATTCCCGGCATCAACGTGTCTGCGAGAGCTTCGGCGCAATCTTTAGCTGTCGCGTGTCTAGCCAAGTTAACTTTGGCCCTACCGAGGGCGTTTTTGGAACCTCTTCGAGACGAAGAGGGATCAAGAGAGTCTTGTACGGGGGGTAAGTAGACTTGCATGCCAAAATTTTGTTGCACTATTGGTGGGTGAATAGGATCACTTGCTTTATTCGTTCATGCAATTAAAATCGGTGGCCCATGTGCCGCTTCTAATATTATCTCTTAATCGAGAACTAGATCCCTTGAACAATTTTGTTACACATAGTTGAATTGACATTTTAATCCATATTGATATCTAATTAAATGAGGTTATTAGGGCTGATAGTTAGTCCTCCATGGCATTTGTGATCAGTAACTAGTTTCTCCTTACCTATTACTATTATCCCCAATGAATGCCTTATTTCAAGCATTTCTTCCAGTCCAAGAGTCACAAAAAGCAAGTCAAGGTGCACTTTGAAGAACTGAGAACGGATGGGAGAGTCAATACCTAGTGGAAGGAGCAAATGAAGTGATTTTTACATTGAAGCCTCAGCTCGAAATATCAATCTCTTGTGCACTGTTTGTTCTCACATCCACACTAACTTCCATGAATCGGTTCCATGTGATGAGGATGATGTATATTCGTACTTCAAATTATACTTTCTTTCGTCAAATTGAAGATTCAAAAGAGTATGATTCGTTGATTTAAATCATTTGAAAGTGAAGTATAGACTGCAGTTGCAGAAAATGGCATTAGATTATCTCTTTCGACGTCCTGAAGACCAAGAAACTGCGTGTTTTGTCTTAATCAATATTACAAGTAGGCTTTAATGCCGAACAATTATTGCGTCTGCTGCCGTAGCAATATTATTTCTATTTTAGTTGAAATCGCTTTGCATTTGATTCGCCATTCCGACCCTCAAGTTCGTGGTAATGCCTGTCTCCTTATTGGAAATCTATTACGATCCACTGTTACCCACGCTCTTGTCGATCCATCTCTGGAAGTTAATACCCATCTACGAAAGGAAATTTTTCGTCTAATGAATTGCTTAGATGATCTGCTGACTTCAGAAGTGAGTACAACTAATTTCTTTTGAATCAGCTACCTACGTCTATTAATAAAACTGACGCCTTTACGTCTTTAGAAATCCGGCATAACCTTCCGAATGGGTCTTAAAGCCATACGCTACTGTGCTAACGCAGTGCTCCATCTGCCCGCTCTTGTTCACAAAGTCACTATGGAAACGCAACAGCCAGACGCTTCAATTTGTCTTGTTGAATGCCTTTCTTCTCATCTGGTTGACTGTACCCGACATCCCTACCGTTTAGTTCGGAGGGAGATAATGTTACTAATCAGTGATTTGGACTGGGACCAGTTCGAACACTTAGAAAGAGTTTGGGTAAGGTAGTTAGAATATGATTGTTTTTTTCTCATGCCTTATACCTTAATTTTTTTTGCCGTTTTGTTCAGTTTGGTATACGCAGAAAGGGGATATCGAAACGCCTGGTTACAGCCACGCCATTGTCCAAAATTGCCTGGAATGAATGCGTTCGCTTGTTTGCTGATGCTGATCGTTCTCTTGGGAAGGCAGCCTTTAGGGCTCTTTTAGCTCTTGCTAGAAGAACGCCTTCAGTCGATCTTAACACAACAGCATTAAATAATGTCGACCTTGAATCGATTGATGCTGTCGCTGCAAGTTTGTTCGAGCATTCTGCCCTCACCGGTAAGCAGTCATGTACATGGTTTTGAATGACTGGATTAATCGTCCTCTAATTGAACATCTTCGTTTCTAGAATCTAAGGTTTAACAACACTTGTTAGAGGCTGTTGTAGTTTCTGTTATGAGATCGGAATTATACTTGGCTATTAAAATAACAAGTCATAAATCTTTACATTAATGGAATTTTTTCTCAATCGTCAGCAGCACAGGACTGTAATATTCTATTATTTTGTGAGGAGAAGATCTTATCTGAGGTGTTGAGTATAAATGTTGGGTCATTATGTTCTTTCTTCATGAAGACAGAAGAATTGGTAATTAGGAAAAAAAGCGAAGAGACACTCTCAGGTTATATTCGAGAGCGTTGGATCGTTCGGCTTTTGGTGAATATTTAATTTGTTTGCTCTTCTTTAGGTCAGAGTCCAGTCTCCTCAGATTTGCCACTTATTCAGGATAAAGTAACCTCTCATGCCAGTGGTTTCTTTGATGATCTTCGCTGTGTAGCCAAAGATCTCTCCGTTGATCTTCGATTTTCTGCTGTGCCCACCACCTCTTTTGGACATTCTCCAAAGTCCCCAATTTCAAACAATCGAAATCGGCGAATAATTTGGAAAAATCATATTATTGGAATGCATCGCTTATTTCGAGAACTGGTTGATTCTTTGTTAGAACTTTCTCCTGTCTGTGATACTGTGGAAAATCGGAGCATGCTGGTTGTCTCATTGCCTTTTTGCTTAAAACATCGTTAGTAGTGTTTGTATATAATGGTTTTATTTTTCCAGAATTCCATAATATCAGGTCTCTCAGAGTTATTGGGACGTACACCGATCTCTACACATTACTTTCTATGGTACTCTCCCTCTCCGATTCCCAAACCCTTTGATATTGACAGTAACCCTGACAATGTGGATATTCCGCCTGCACGTCTTGCACTTCAGCACTATCAAAGACGACCGAAAATGGCTCTCCTTCTTTGGCACTGTATTTCTCAATTATCTATTTCACCCCTGGCTTTAACTGACCTTGAATTGCAGACTCATTTACTTAATTTAGCCTCCGGATGTGCTCTTCGTGAGTTAACGGTACTTAATTGGTTGGTTTAAGTAGTCTACTTAATCTTAGCTAATAGGATTTCTTATTTTTTAGGATTGGGTGTTAGCAGCCTTATGGAAGGTAGCGTCGTTGCTGGTGGGACAATGGAACTTCCTCCAGATCATGCCTTTACTCGAGCTTCTGGGGCTCTTCTTAGTCACATTATAAGGTTAGCTTGTTGATTGAAAGAAAATTACTTACCTTATAGCGTCTTAGTGTTTTGAAATCGTATCTTTGACTATTTACTATGATTAGTTTGTCGTGAACTTTTTAAGACTCTTGGCCATCTTTTGGCACGTCTTCGCTGATGTCAAGCCATCTACTTCTACCTCCGCTAGTGCAATTCTCTCTGGCTTAGTTGGTGGAAATGGAGCCAATTCTGCTGTTCCTATCACTAGTGGTCCTATAGGTGGGACATCTGCCAATACCCCTCCTGCTATTATAACAACAGCCAATCAGACAGCCAATTCGAATAAATCGAAACCTATCTTCAGCATTCACTTCATTCAAACAACAGAACCTGAACGTCAGTATAATGTTCTTTACATACATCTATTGAGTCGAATTAAATTGATTTAATTGATGGATATTGGTGCTTTAGAGGACGAAGGCAAGGTGGTTATTGGAAATCGTGAAACACGAGGATTCTTCGCTGATTCTATGGAATACATGCAACTGTACAACGCGGTTAAGGCTTCATTTGAAGCTTATAAGGTATTTTGTTGTTAGTTCGTTCTATTCGATTTTTCGCGTTTTTATGTTAGCATTTAGATATTTTTTAGCTTTTGTGTTTGGATTAATTAACTTCTCAGATTAATATAATAATCTTACCATAGCTACAAAGAAACTCGTAGGTCTTTCTTCCTGAATGGCAGGGGGGGGGGGTTAGTCTAATTGAAAGGAACCGATTTGTTTGACCCGTCCCTTTTAAAGCAATCCCTTAAGTGAGGTTTTTAATCAGTGAGAACACAAAATGAGTTGAGTTGTCGAAAATTTCTTGCATCATGACTTAGCGTTTCACTGTTCACATTTAAGAGCCTTGCATCTGTGCCTTGTTTGAGTAAATTCGAGTCCACCCGATTCCAACTTATTCCTAATTAAGTTCTGAGAGTGTGGAGGGGGGGGGGTTGGGTTTTGGAATGAGTGCATAAGGCATCCACTCCACAAAACACTTTGAAGAGTTATTTCCCGAATCATGCATTGACTTAAACTGTTTTGTGCAAAATTATTTCTGCGTCCGATTACTAGTATAAATCTAGCACTCCCTTTCAGAGGTAGTTTATCGATTACAGGTCTTTGTTTGCCTCTACCTCGTGGAGGTTCCGCTAATTTGTCTGGGTTATAGGCACAGCTATTTACATGCAATCAATAGAAGTGCCTGTTTTCACGCCCTTTCTTAGTCGCTTTATTCTTTCTCTGGCATTTGAAATAATGCTCTAAAATGCAATTTGGCCCACTCTCAAATC